TATGATCATGAAGCAGATGGTGGTCGACTGGCATTTTATATCGTAAAATTTGAAATAACAATGAAACTAAAATCTGAAATTTCAACCATTTTCTTTCGAGGAAGACTGTTTCTCGTATTAATATAGTTTGGGCAACTTAATTGTATACATCAGTTGCTAAAATTGTCCACTACACAGTACAAATGGGCTGTTTATTTCGCTTTGTTTTGACATACTCTATCACAAATTAATATTGAACATATCGAGGGGCATTTCACTCCAAAAAAGCGTACGGGATTTTCGGATTTTTAAAAATCCGCGGATTTTTTAGCGGATTTAGCGGATTTTTTAGCGGATTTTTGAAGAGAAAATTTGCTGGATTTTCCGGATTTGTTCGGATTTTCCGGATTTGTTCGGATTTTTTCTGGATTTTTGAAAATCTGTTGGATTTTCCGGATTTGTTTGGATTTTTCGGATTTGTTCGGATTTTTTCTGGATTTTTTTTAATTATAGAGTTATAGAGCTAGGTAACGTTTTGAACAAATAATCTTAAGTTGTACGACGTCAACGTTATGCCAGAACGTCAGGGTCGAGCAGAGGACTGGGACTAGGACCACAGCCTTCAGAAACTAACAAAGGCTGGGCATGCAGTCATTTTGTTTAAATTCAAACAAGTTCATTATTCTTTCAAAAACAGTGAAAGACAATGGTGAATAACTTTTGGTTTTGTAATTATATTTTACAACATAACGTCATTGTAACAAGAACACATATTTAGTAGTAATAGGTTAAAAAAACTTCGCATATACTCGAGCGTATAAATGGAAATGTAGAGTGGTCCAATAATTACGAAATATAATGACAGCGATCACCGTGAGCGTTTAGCTTTCGCTGTCCGCCATTTTGAACGTGGCAAAGAACCTTTACGAGTAAATTACACCAAGTACTTCATATATTTTTTTGTGGATTTGCGGATTTTTTAAGGATTTTTAAGGATTTCTGTGGATTTTTGAAGGATTTCTGTGGTTTTTGTGGCTAGCCCGTTTGCGGGCTAGCCACTATCACATACACATACACATACACATACACAAACGCGATGAGCGATGATGATCATGGTGTCCAGTCCGGATTTTCGTAAAGTATCGGGAGCAATCGGAAGCGCCCGTATTTTTCTGCCGACATTTCACATTTGCATTTCGAGGCAATACTAGTGATGTTGTTACGACGCAGTACTAATGAGGTTGTTAAACCAGAAAATTAAAATAAAGTTTATCTTCATGGCTTCAACCTATGGTGTCGAAACCGATCAGAAATTGCGCGTACTCGCCGTGTAAATATGGGTTTTGATTTGCACTTTTGACTGATTTGCCATCTTGAATTGTCTTCTTGTTGAGATTTCATATCTCAATTGCATTCAAAATGTTTGGTATTTTAAAGAAGGGGTATTGTGTGGAGGAGGTTTATAATGCAGCGAATAAAACCAGCATTGGATAATTATGGTAAAAGACCAGAAACTGTGCATCGAACTCGTTTATTTAAAGGCTTTAAGTATACCTTTTCTTCAGACATTGACGGGGTCTCAAATGTCTACATATTTGTAATAAACCTATAAAGGATTATTGCGTCTGTCTGTCTTAGGAGTTATATAGTCGAATAATTCAGCATGATTTGTCTCACGTTCTCTTATAAGTTGACTAATATTGCATTAAAAGTGGTAAAAGTTGGTGTGCTAACCAAGATTTCAGTGTATTTGTTTGCTAATGTTGCTAGGCCTATATCTCAAACGCTATTTGCCTATTAAAATATCATATGACACGCAATTTTAATTCCACGGCAAAACTGCTGTTGCGCAAATAACAAACGCGAGATTAAATATATATGGCAGTATTACAGTTTAGTAATATTGAATTAAAAGTGGTAAAAGTTGGTGTGCTAACCAAGATTTCAATGTATTTGTTTGCTAATGTTGCTATATCTCAAACGCTATTGCGCAAATAACAAACGCGAGATTAAATATATGGCAGTATTACAGTTTAGGTATCTTTTAAATTGCTAATAGATCACAAGGAAACTTTTTACAATCGTTATATTCAAAAGCCTGGCGTGCAAATTCACATATTTGTGTTTATTCAAGTGTTATTCATGAATTCGCTATTTACATGGGAAGCGACGAGAGTGACACGGTATTTTTCAAGTATACCGTGAAACTCCACTGACAAAATGAGCCCGCACAAGTGGGAGAAAATTTGCGCATTCTGACCATCGTGGTATGTCTTCTTATTACTATTAAAGTTAACCAGCATGGCAGGCTTTCTGGGTTTGGAGGAGGGTTTGGGGAGTTAAAGTTTACCAGGCTAGCCACATGTACGCATTGCGTACCTATTTTTAAAGGATTTTTCGGATTTTGATGGATTCAACGGATTTTGAGGATTTCATGGATTTTTTCTGGATTTTTTGACGAAGTGTACGGGATTTTTGGAGTGAATTGCCCCTCGGAACATATAAACAGTATTTTTTTACCTTTACAAATAACGTCTTTCCAAAATTTCTTGAGGTTTGAATATTCGTTCCCTGTCTTTCACTAGCCAGGATGATTCTTACCACTTGTGCAACTCGAAACAAATGTTAAAAATATGTCGAAGAGAAGGCAAACACCGAGGCAAACTTCAAAACAAAAAGCTAAAATATTTTTGTGAAAATCAGGGGGATGAGAAAGTGGTAGCGGGCTCAAAATGAGCCTTGCTCAGTGGTAATTACCACGAGGATTTGGGACCAGTGGCGTCATTCTGGCGTCAGCAAACGTGAAAATCCGCCATGTTTTTGGCTTCACTTGCTTGACTGAAGAGAGATAGGAGCACTTCCTCCAGATATATTATAGCTCAGTGGGGCAACCACTGAGCTATACTGGAGATCGTGCTCGCAAATCAAAAGTGTCCGCAAAAACATGGCGGATTTCGAGCTCCACGTCCACTATTCTCATGGTACGTTAACTGACCACAGCTCAAATGCGTGCGGGCGACATTTCCCACTCCCCCCTGACCAGAGAGCCACTGATCTTTATAATTTTTAAAA